TGGCCAACGGAAGGCTTGCGATGATGGCCATCATCGGCATGTTCTTTCAGGCGCGGTATCAACATACTGAACATACAATCATGCGATGTATCAGTCTGTGCTAGTGATTACTGTCACTGCGTACGCTAATGTGTGTGTGTGTGTGTGCGAGAGTGGTCAACAGATGCTTCTGACATGTCGGTATAACTTCGTAGTGGTTAGCACGAGTGGGCACCACCACACATTCGGCGCTATCGGGCTCAGCTACTGTGCATGCCAGTGATGCAATTGGGCCGTTTGGCTTGGGGCATCTCAATGACAACGGGGAGAGACTGTTAAGTCTTTGTGAAGGTTCGCCTACAGGTTTGCTTAAGGTGGCCGGCACGTTGTTTCGACATAAGCATTATGGCACATGGATACATGCGAAGACCAAACGATGGCATCATATCGATCATGTCCTTGCGCCAGTTCGTTCAATGCGCCTCGTGATGGATGTGAAAACTATGCCCGGTTTTGGTTTTGATACTGATCATCGCATGGTCAAAGTTAAATTACGGTTTCCACCCCTTTCTTGGCGATTTGGTGTGGCAGTACGCCCACCGGCAGCGAAAGAGACTCGTATTCCACGTCTACAACTTGGGCGATTAACCCCTGCAGTGACCGACCAACTCAACACAAAACTGCAGGATAGCATGAACGAGGGCCTGTTGGATGACTACACGTTGTGGTCGTATGCGGTTCGTCTATTTGCCCAGGACACGCTAGGTACTAAGCCACAGCATATCAAACTTGCTTGGCAATTAGATAATGCCTCACGTTTATCAGAGCTTAGTCAGCAACGTAAGTCGGCTTATGCCTCTTTTGCACAAGGGGGAAGTCGCGAAGTGTATAGACGTGTTTGCAAGGGTACCAGGCGTGAGCTTCGGACACTTATGAATACCTGGTGGAGGGATAAGGCAAAAGCAATTCAGGAGGCAGTGGATTCGAAGGAGCCAAACGCTCTATATGCTGGGCAGCGGGAGCTGCAAAGCATCTTTTTAAGTCACGTAAGAGACCTAATAAGCTTCGAGACAAGAAAGGCCGGCTTATTCTTACTCAACCTGATCGGCTTGAACGGTGGCGGGAGTACTTTTCCGAGTTGCTGAACGTACCGGGGACTGTAAAACCAGCACACTTCGATGCCATAAGCAGGGTGAGCACTGATGTTACCCTTGGTAGTCCGCCGACCTTTGCGGAGACCGTTGCTGCTGTTAAACGGCTTAAAAATGGCAAGGCCACTGGTCCTGACGGTATAGATGCTGAACTGCTTAAGTGTCTTTCTTTGGTTAACTTGCGAGTCATGCACGAACATATCTACCGTGTTTGGGTCGGTGCGGCGCCTATGCCGGAAGAATGGGCTGAGCACTATCTCATCCCGATTCCAAAGAAAGGCGATCTTAGTTTTTGCAAGAAATGGAGGGGAATATTATTAGCTTCGATTCCTGGTAAAGTCTTTGGGAAAATTATTAACGCACGCTTATATCAACACGCTCAAGCACATAATTTACTGCCGGAGACACAGGCCGGGTTCCGTGCTGGGCGGAGTATGTTAGACATGGTGTTTGTACTTCGTATGGCGCAAGAAATTGTCCGCGCTCATGATCATCCGCTATTCGTAGTGTTTATTGATTTGGTTACTGCATATGATAGTGTTGCACGGGACGGACTGTGGAGTATCCTCCGCATAAAGGGTGTTCCGGAACATCTTGTCGCGTTGCTCAGGACTTTCTAGCAAAAAACTGCACGCGTGTTTGCGGAGGGGTGCTTGACGGAGGTGTTTGATCTCACGACAGGTCTTAGCCAGGGGTGTTGTGTTGCTCCGTTGCTCTTTAACATCTTTTTTGGTGCGGTCATGGAAAAATGGCGCTTACTCGAGGGCCGTCGGTTGGATTGGGGCACCAGAGTCGACGGGGTATTACATCGGGTGCAATTGGATAAGTATGCGACTCATGAGAAGTGTTTTGTATCCGAGCTTGGTTATGCGGATGACTTGGGGCTTCTGGGAGACTGTTATGGTATGCTGAAACGCCTCACGCAAGAGTTTCAGGTTTATGTCGCCAGCTGGGGACTAACGCTATCCGTGGAAAAAACTGAGGCTATGTGCACTACTCAGGCTAAACAACCGCCGATTCCGGTAATGACACATCAAGACAAAGACAAAATTGCCTTCGTTGAAACATTTGAATATCTCGGATGCCAGATTAAGTTTGATGGTGACTGCACACCGGATATCTTGCACAGAATCGAACAAGCTAGGAAGGCGTTCTGGAAACTAGCCCCTACAGTCTGGTATGTACAAGAACTTTCGCTTGAGGTTAAAATGTTGGTGTTTCGTGCATGCGTCCTGTCTGTTTTGCTGTACGGGTGCGAGACCTGGACTACTACGTTTACTTCCAGGCACAAACTGCGTTTGTTTTACATGATGTGCTTGCGGGTGATCAGCCGGGTCACGCGTTGGCAACAGCAAACTTGGCATTTGAGCAATGACATTCTCAGGGGGTGGCTGGGAGCTCCTGATATCCTTGCACTTATTACTCAACACCAGCTCCGATGGATTGGACATGTTGCTCGAATGCCGCAGCATCGCCTGCCTAAACAGATTATTTGTGCTTTCTTACCTGATTCGGTCGGCACACAACGTCCACCAGGAAGGTTGAAAGGTAAATGGTACCGTCAAACCCTAGTGGAGGCCATGCGTGTGGCGGAAATTCTTTTATCGATTTGGACACAATTTGCAAATAGGAATAATGGAGAAGAGTGGAGATTGGCTACGAGGAAGGTTGCACTGTGGTATAAGCCCGTGTACCCACGCCAAAACGCTGCTGTTCCCAATAGAGAGGCTGAACTTCACAAACTCCTTAAGAAGCGCACGGCACATCCGGATAAAAGTTTCGCGGCTGCGGTACGAAGGGCGGAGGATTGGGTCAAGGCCCAAACTTCGGAGGCTTCGGGATTTTTCGAGCTTGAGGAAGCCAATGCTCCAGTCTCGCTGCACACCTTATTTGAATCCGAAGCTCGAGCACAGTTTGGCGAAGATTGGTTTTTCGAGGACTTTGACGATGTTTTTACTCGGGTAATGGATTTGCCTTTTTGGGAACCTGCTGTGGCACATGAACTAGACCTTGGTTTGTTTCGTTTGGTTGGCTTGACTGCCCACAAGCTTGCTCATGATGGCTCGCACTTAGCTGCACAAATTGAAGCTGTTCGAGATCTTGCGCCACCGTTAGTGCCTATTCGTCGCAGACTACACCATAAGCAACGTCCCACGGAGGCGTTTATCAAACAGGCTGATGTGGTGGTTGCACCCGGGTTACCGGTAGTTCGCATGTGCACTAAATATTGGACGCCGCCAGTACATGAAAACCGAGTGGGGGCTCTGTTTGCTTGTCAGTTTCCGGGCTGCACACGTAGTTATACCACAAAGATGACACATTCGATGTATTCGACCCGAAATTCGATGTATTTGGCCTGTGCCACCGAGGAAAAAAAGATCGAGAAGACGTTGCTTTTGGCTCAAAACACAGGAAACATTTGTCTGTTCGCCAAGTCGGGCCTTGTTGGCACCCATGTGATTCTTAAACACACTGAGGGTACGTATCGGGAACAAGGTTGGGATTGTCCGCACTGCTGTCGCTCATTTGAGCGGGAAAGCGCAATGACACAACATTTGCGACTCCATGAGCCAAGTGCAACCCCGTTTGTGTGTCCGTGCTGTCAAGGTTTCTTTCCAGGGAGAGCCACGATCAGACTGCATCTTGCTGCCTCGCATAAAATAAGTGCTGCCGAGCTGCCCATTACATGTCCGCATTGCCGCTTGCAGGGGCTACAAAACACGTTCACGTCTGTTCGGGAATTCGTTGTCCACCGGTTGAGTGAGCGTGTTCAGTGAGTCTTGGCTCAGTCCAGTAGTTTCTTTTGAGTCCCCAGTACGTCTGGTCGGATGTCATGGTGCGTGACCGTGACAAGCCTGATTGATGGTCGGGAACGTCGGGAGGGCCGTGAACGGGATCGTGGGCGCGAGCGTGCTGATGATCATGATGATAGGGATGATGGCCACATGCGAGATCGTCTCCGTGCAGTGGAAACCCTTGCTACAGACGCGGCTCACCTCGCCAGTACCTCTGCCTTCCGTCTCGGGGGCTACACAGCAAGCAAGGGTCTTGTCTACTTCCTCAGCGGGGATCTCAAAGAACGCCTTTCTCGCAGATGGACGGATTGGCGACGCACAGCGGCGCTTGACCCGACCCAGAGGCCCACCGCTAAGCCCAGGCCTTGGAAGTTGCAAGTGTACGACTCACTCGTGGAGTGGGTGGTCAACACTGCTGCTGGCGGGCCCACCCGGGCTGCTGATGATGGGATTGCGGGCTTGTTGGAGACGATCGCAGGTGCGGGGGCCTCAGTTGAGTCTGCGAATCACGGCGAATCCCTTAGTGACAAACCCTGGCCGGTGGTTGTTACTTTCCGTGGATCAGAGGACAGCCGGAAGGTTAAGGACCGTTGGTTGGCTGATGGGTTGCGCGGGCTGTTGGGGTCTGGCAAGGAGTTGGGGGTAAGACCGGCCCGGTATTTGCCAGGTCGAGCACACAAGCGTGTTTTGGAACATCTCCCCCAAAAGGGGAAAGGAAAGGCCGGACAGCGACGTTCTCCCAAACGTGAAAGCGAACAGCGTGGTGGGTCCGCGAGGGAAGGCAAAGCTGCACGTACGTCTGCCTGAGGACTGGGATTTCCTGCAGGGCTATCATGCTTTCTGTGATAGTCGGTGCTGTCCGACTATCGTGTTCTGTCTGGTGCCGGTGCCGCCCGGCCCAGCCCGCAAACGGGTGCCGTCCCGCGGGAAGCGTCGTCGTCGTCACCGCTATCGTCGTTGTCGTTGTCGTCGAAGTCCTGTATCTGCTTCGGTCTAGGGTTACTTTATAGGACCAAGGCTCTCGAAGGTGCTGCTGTTAGGGCTTTCGTACAATTGCAGACCGGTACTGATCCCGTACTACTGCGTGGCGTGGTGTTTTATCTGAAGAAGTTTCCGCGCCGAAACCACTATGATTTGCTCTTCAGGAGGTTTGCGACTCGATTGCTGTGCTGGATGGTAGTGCCCTACTGGTTTCGACAGTCTCTTATTTTGTCAGTATGTCGTGGTGTTTGTTTGGCATTTCTATGCTGCCAGGTGTAAGTGTCAAAAAAAATTACGCTATGCCTTACATGAGGTCTTTTCGGTGATCGTTGCGTGACGTTGCGTATATCTCTTTTTGCTACCAATTAATGTCACTAACACACGATGCTCGTTCGACAGTAAAGTTTCAAGCGCTCCACATCTTGGCCTAGTGACGGTCTGTGCTGTTGATTGTTCGTAACTTATGTTCCCCTTATGGTATTGTTTGTCGTACGTCCACCTTCTGGTGATGAGACATGATTCTGGCTCCCCCTTTCTGATCCTCCCAGTGCTTGCTCTGCATCTTTTAGCTGACCATTTTCAAAATTCGTGCAATTTTGTTCTCTCGTGCGGCTACGGCCAGGAACTGGACAACAAGCCGGCTACCAGGCTTGTTATCCCGAACCTTCGTGTACTATGCCCGACCCGCCGAAACGGGATGCCTTGGCACTGCTTATTGAAGCCCCAACCGCCGGGATGCGAACGCCTAAATCCAGGCAAGAGGTCTCCACTACCATTCATGCAGAGGGGGATTTCCAATGCGCTATTTGTGACCGAAAGTTTCCCACCAAACTGGGATTAATGTCACATATTCAGGCGACACATACAGAAGGTACGTTTAGGGAGGCAGGTTTCCAGTGTACCTTATGCCCGCGACTGTTCGCCCGACAAAATAAACTGACTCAACATGACAACCGTGATCACGTATATAATTCTACCGCACTGGTATGTCCACATTGCCGTAGTGTTTTCCCTGGAGAACCCATGCTCCGTTTACATATGGCTGAAGCTCATGAAATACCGGCGGATATTTTTCCCACAGCGGGTCCGTTGTGCATTGCACGTGGAGATCGCATGCCTCAAATCACCAACCCACTAACGTGTAAAAGGCATCGTACAGCGGAACATTTGCGCGATCACCCCGTTATGGTATACATGGAGTAATAAGCATTCGTATCAGCGAGGGGGCAGTTATGCAATCACTCGGACGCCCTGCACGCCTGAAGGCTGTGGAATGTGTGGTAAAGTACAACACGCAGTGTTTGCTTGCTTGCACAGAGAGAGTCGCGGGAGAGATGTGTCTTTGTACCCTTGTGCGCATCATGTCACACCGTGTTCATGTCTGTTAAATGCCGCGATGCCCAAGCTCTCGCTGTAGGGCGTTCCTTGCGCAATGCCGCGTGGTGACAGAGGTGACAGAGACCGGGACCGTGACCGTGGGCGGGACGAGCGGACACGAGCTACTAGGTCTGGGGCACGCGAGGACTTTGAGTCTCTACTCACTAAAGTTGAGAAGGTTGAAGACAAGATTGCGCGCACCTCACACCTAGCACTCCAGGCAAGCAAGGACGCAGGCGAAGTCAGGGCAGCTCACCAGCTTGTGGTGTTTCTCAAAGGACTAGCTCGTGAACACGTTAAAGAAGTCGTCGCAGGGTACCAGGGTGAAAAGGACGCCGTACTGCAAGGACTAAAGGACAAGGGTGCACCTCTCAAACTACGTGTTTACAAGGCTCTGCTCAAAAAACTCGAGGAGGTTGCAACGACCAAGGGGGCGGAGACGGCGGCGGTGGCCAGAGAGCTCTTGGAGTTGGGAACGACCTCGGTCGTCAACTCTGTCACGAACGGGGCTAAGCCCCCAGAGGGCGACGTCCCTTGGGTGCTGGTGCTTACCTTCCACTACTCGGAGGTGGGTCAGAAAGCCAAGCGGCTTTGGAGCAGTGCAGCCCTACGCCCGTGTTTCGCTAAAACAGGCGGCGGCTGGCCGGAGTTGGGCGTGAGGGAGGGTAGTTGGCGACCCGGCCGTTTACACCAAGCAGTAGCGGAAGACTTGGGTTTGCCAGCGAAGGGTAAGGGCCGGGGCTCTGCGGCGACAGGCGTCAAACGACAGTCCGAGTCGCCAGGAGGAGCAAGACGAGCGTCGCGTAGAGTAGCGTGAGTACAGAAACAAGCACTTGCTGAGCACGCGGTTCGTCGAAGCTGTTTTTTCGCTAGAGGTGCACTTCGTCTTTTACAACAGTTTTCCCCGCACCGGTCTCGTCCGGGCGTAGCGGAAGCGGTCTCGTCCCCCCGCCCAAGAGCAGGTCTCGCCGTAGCTCAAAAAGTTTCGGCCTGTGACTCGTGCTTGCGTCTTCTCCCCTCCCCTTCTGGTTGTTGTTCCGGTATGGTTTGCTTGTTTTCTTGTGTGTGTCGGACGGTTGTCGTTTTCTTTCGTTTTTCCCCCTTGTCGACGTTACCTTTTTCCCCACCTTTGCAATGTCGTGTGCAGTTTTGAATCTTGTGACGTTGCTTAAACACTTGTCAAGTGGTGGCTGTGCTTGACATGCTTGTTTTTGCTCCGCCGCAAGGCGCACGGAGATGAAGCCGCGTATGCGGCAAAACATCTACATCCAGGCTTGCGATGATGGCCATCATCGGCATGTTCTTTCAGGAGCGGGGTCAAAACAGAAATCATGAGATGTATCAGCCTGTCCCAGTGTTTTACTGTTTG